TTCGAATCCTGGCGACGGGGTGAGTTCCCATCGCTCGGTCCCTGTGCCTGCCAACCTAGCAGTTTGGCTTAGTCATGCCGGCCACATGACCCGGAAGTTGTATGATGGCTCCCTCGGCCAATAAAGCGAGATGAGTGCCACAGCGCCAGAGTCGTCCGCGACTGGACCTAATGGTCAGGGGTCCCTTTACCTTTTACCTTTACCTTCTGAGCAGACATGCAAAGAGTTGAGCTGATAGTGGGGCTGGATTAGTAGACTGAAGTTTGGATGGGGGATATATTTTTCTTGCAACACAGTGCAAACCCATGCACCTTAATTCCTAAGGAAGCCCCACAGTTTACTTACAGTTGAGTGTGAAAAGACTGCCTGTGGGGAGAGCAGGGGATAAACATCTTCATTTAATCTGAGCACTTGGCCATGTAACTCACTACTTTGTCTTCAAAAACAGCAACAGCTGGACATTTCAGAAGACTTTAACCCACAGGTCCAGTGTATATTTCTTTCCAATCATAAAAAGTTCCATTTTTAGCATTTATTTATTATCTGGCTGAATATTTAATCCATTGATCATATGATTTGGCATTCCCTCAATCAGAAGCCCAAGAGGAATGGGGGATCATTTGTTCCATAGTATTTGAATTCTAAATGACTAACAACCCTATGCATTTTTTAAAAAGGTGGGACTGATTTCTAGGTAAGTAGATAAAGGATTGCAGAATTAGTGCCACTGGGATTAAGTCGCCTTGAATTCAAATTATGGATCGCAGGTGTAATATTTTGTGATGTTTGCTCTAGTGACAAATCCCCTCTCACTTTTGTAATCTTACATGTTGATTTCATTAAACACACACACACAAAATACTTCTCTTTTTCTGAGTTTCCATATATTAACTGATTAGTGTTCCTTTCAGCTGATATAAAGTGCTGTCCTCACATTTAGAAGGAAAGTAAATTAAAGTGAAAGGGACTTGGTTTCAAATTGCCCAACAAAATATTTGTTTTAGACAATATTGTTCTATAACCACACCTGCCATGTGTCTGCAGTTTGCATTTAAGTTGTGAAAAACGCTGGTGCTTCCTGACAAGAAATCTTATGAATGAAGTCTAGCTAACAGGAGAACTCTTTATTTCTATGGGGACAAGACAGCAGCACAAGTTAATTAAACTGGTAACACTGTGATTAGTTTCAATCAGGGATCAGCTGAGGCTGGTGGTTGTAAGGGAATGTGCATTTTCCACAGACATGAGTAACAATGCTTATAACATTTTTTCACATTTATTCTGTGCATTCAGTAGTAACAATGACAGACATTCAAACAGGTTAGAAGGCGGAATTTTTAAAAAAATCTAGCCATTGTACATCCATTAGCATAATGATTATTTGGGTGCTTAAATGCAGTATGCCTATGAATAAGGATATGCATTTTAATAGTGTTAAATACACAGGGCACAGTCCAAAGTTAAGCATTTTATAGTCCCAACAGGAGTAAACACCATACCTCCGTTTTTTCTCCTGAACTTTATTGGGCTTTCTTTATTTTTGTTGAATTGTGCCTTTTGCTGATAAATAGCTTAGAAATGCCTGAAAATAAGGCCCACTGAACTCAACAGGTCTCGTTTCTGAATTAAGATGGACAAATATGTCATTTTTTTGTTGCCCAAGTTTCTCATTTTCTCTAATCTTAACTTCACTTCTCTAGCATTTCTGCAACAACTGGCATTTTTTAAAAAATCCTCCTTGAAAATTCATCAATATTTTAGTGCAAATTTCTCCAAAAAACAGTTTTGTATGCAGTTCTGACTATAAATTTTGAAAGCAATTTCCACTATTATAATGAATTTTTAATGTTTTTGTTTTTGTTTTTTACTAATCATATGCATTTCTTGCACACTTTACCTCTGTCTATGCATTTTGTATACATAATTCATTTGGGGAACTGCACTGCAAAATTTGGAAGAATGCAAATTTTGGAGGATGGCTGTGTTTGGATTTCCATAGTGTTTCAAAAAGTGCAGATTTGGTAAATATGCCTTAGGTTGAATGAATGAAAGAATTTATTAATACGGTCACAGACCAGCATCAACACACACAATATCACAGATCACCAAAAAAAAATAAATCAGAAATACAGGGGACAATATGAATATAACAAGGATTTAAATATAAAAAATTAAAATTAATTATTAGCGTGCCCCCTGTAATTAACATTTAGGGGTTTGGTCATTATGGGATACCACTTGCTTACTGCGATTAATTGCAGACGCACAGAATTTGGCTACATTTAATGTAGTCTTGGGATTCTTGTCCTCTAGCAGTAGTTTTAAACTATGGTGTTCCGATTCTTTCCTGGACTTTTGCAAAACAGGTGTAATAAAAGTCAAACGTATATCCTCATAAAGACGACAACGTAATAGTACATGTGAAGCAGTTTCAACTTCCAACGAGCCACAAGGGCAGACCCGTGCTGTGTATGGTTTGCCCTCAAATCTGCCCTGAAGTAAGGCAGAAGGGAGAACGTTGAATCTGGCGAGGGTAAAAGACCGTCTGTATTTGGGTACCTGAAGACCTGACAGATAGTTAGCTGGAGAGAAACCTCTCCCATGGTCCCTATTGCTGGATGTTTGATCATTTCGCTCATGTGGCATTGTAATTCTACGTCCCAGATACGCTGGCGAATTGTAGTCCCAGCTTTCTCGAAGCCTGTCGCTATCAGGTTCTGCTGTGGGATCCCAAGCCTTTAAGCTTTCCAGCAGTGTAGCTTTCCATTTGTATTGGTAGGTATCTAATAAGGTTAAAGGTGCCAGCCCAACCGGGAAGAAAATAAGCTTTAGCCAAAAATGGATCTACAATATCCATATCCAGTACTGATAGGAATTTGCCCAACCTCCAAACGGACCGCTATGTTGGATACGCAAGAGGGGATCCCCAGCAGGCAGCGGAAAAACTTAGTTTGGAATGTCTCTAAGAGAGTAAGGTTTTTAAAGCTGCAGATCTGGGATCCATATAACAATTGTGATAGTATTTTGGCAGCAAAGACCTGGGAGGCTGCCGGTTGCCTTAGGTTGTGAAATGACTTTAATGTCTCCCTCATCCCTACTTCTGAGTAGACATGCAATGTGATTTCCCTGTTAGGTTGCAATCCCACACTCTTGCTCAAACTTGACAGGAACTAATGTCTGAGAAAACAAAGTTAGGCTCACAGAAGCCCAGTTCACACATCAAGAAAAGCCTTAATGTGAGTGAGCAAAAGTGAGGACTCCCAGAGATTAGATCATGGCCATTTTTCTCTTCTCTGATTTGGTTATGGGTTATGGGTTAGCGCCCTCACTAGAAATAAGCAACTCCCCACATACCACGCTTCTGCCATTTTGTGAATTTAAAAAAATGTTAATGTTTAAAACTGATATGCTTCAGAAACTGCCCCCACCCCATTGTACTAGGCAAGGAGAAAAAAATACCCATTTCAGATGTGACTATCCTGTGAATAAAAGGATCATGATGATTCCTGCATTGTATGGGGTTGGACTAGATGACCCTTGGGGTCCCTTCCAAATCTACAATTCTATGATTCTATGTCACTTTCCCAGCCCCTTCCTCGTTGTCTAGTGGCAGAGATGTCCCCCCACCCCCCAGGACTGGAGAGGGAGGCTTCCAACCATGCTAACCATGCTATTGATCAATAACCACTGCCTGACGGCTTAGGTTGAGTGCTAGAGCATCTGTTTTTCACACAAAGCTGGTTCTCCTTCATGGAGAGCACGTGTTGCGGTGGGGGCAACCATGATATCCCCTGTTGCTGGACGGGTTAGTATGGATGGCCACAAATTTGATAGGGCATCTCCAATTGTTGCTGGGGAGAATTTCATGTTGCAAAATTGTTTGATTGATGGGGGTGCTATTTATTCCCTGTGTGCAGCGTTGCGCTTCCTCTTTTCCCTGCGCACACCTGTGACTAATGTCTATATATACACTCATGGCTTGAAATGAGTGGGAAACCTACTCATTCTGGCACCGCCCACCCTCCCTATATTTAGGGTTTGTTCATGCTGACTTTGCTATGCCTGTCATGGGGTCATCTGCTTTGGAGCAGGGGCCTGGTAGGAATGTATACCATTTGGCTGTTTGGCTGCTGCCATTTGGTTTTTTGCCTACTGCGTAGCAAATCATCACAACTTGTAAGGTTGCGGTTAGGCATTGGTTAACTTTGGTTGGTGGAGGGGTAAGGGTTGGCTGTGCCTGCCCCTCCGATGCTGCTGCTGCAAAGGAATCCAGGGGCTTGCCATGCTCTTGTCCACACCCCTAGCAAGGGGCTAGGGCCATGCAAGAGCCCCTGGGAGTATTTGGGGAGAGGTGAGAGCCTGGCACCCAGCTCTATTCTCTCCCCAAAAATGTTTACCCTTACTGACTTCCGCAGGCTTGCGGTTGTCAATTCTGTTCCTACCTCTATGTGGGAACAGATAGTCGCTAACCAATGCCTAAGCAACCACTCACATATTGTAATTCAATAAAGTTGTGGCCAAAATTATGCCAAAAACCAAAACAAAAATGTGGTGTGAATTGTGTCTTTATTTGGAGGTGTCCTGGGGGGCCTCAACAAGCAAAAGGTCCCAGGTAGGACCTGGAATATATGCTCTCTGCAACACAGGACTGCCATTGCCTGTCACTGTAGACAATAATGGGCTACAGTAGTCTGACTTGGTATTAGGCAGTTTCCTGTGTTCCAGCATTACAGACGCTATTCGCGTTCTTTTTATTTATTTTTTATTTATTTTTATTTTTTTAAATGATATTTATTGAAAATTTTTAAAATTACAGAAAAAGACAAAGCAGAGAAAGAAAAAAGAAAAAACAGAAAAGAGAAAAAGAAAGCAAACCACATCCAACAATACAAATTCAAAAAACAAAAATACACCACAAACATACAAAAATAAAACCAACATTCTCAAATCTTCAACTTTCATTACCTTCTTTCTTTGACCTCCTCCTCCTCCCTTTTTTTGTATCCCAGTTATTAATTATCGCAGCAAATCCTTTCCATATTTCATAATATTCTGTCATTACATTACCTTGATCTATTTTCATCTTATCTTATAAAAACCTTAAAACTTAAATCTTATTTTTACCCACTTCTCATGACCATAATATTCTTGCCTAATTCTTTAAACATTTTTGCTAGAGCCAAGTAATTTCGTTCCAACATTTTTCTAACAGTCATCAATTTTATAAAACAATCCTAGTAATAAAAAAAGAAATAGAAACAATCCAATCTTCATCCAGCGTCCCTTCCTCCTGGTCCCGGGTTTTGTCAGTCCTTTTTATCCCATCGATCTAGCGCATTAACCTGGTAACCTTATATCCGAGGCCCTTAAGTCCCTTCCATGTCCCTTCCGCAGCTCTTCTTCATATTCACCTTTCACTCGTGGGAACTCCAGCTTGGTAATGTTTTTGACCCTTTTCAACAAATCAGCCCCTTTTCCATAGTCCAGACTAAACTCCATGTAGTATTTAAAGTCATATTTCAGAATCCCTCCAAAATTGAGAGCCCCCACAGCTCCAAACATCTCACGGCCCATTGCCAGACTCGGAAAGTCCAAACATCCCTGCAACATCCAACCCCCCATTTCCAAACATCCAACCCCCCATTTCCAAATCAGTCCAAACTTTATCTTTCCTAATCTGGCTTTTTCCAAGTTCATTTGTCAAATCCAAAAGCTCATGTTCCTGCTGGGCCGCAGCTCCCTCCATCTCTGGCGCCCAAGATTGCGCAACATCCTCTTCTCTCATCTGTTCTGTCAGGGCACACTCCTGATTTAATTCCTGGGTGGGCTCCGTATAGTTTCCCACTGCCTGTTCAAAAATTCTGACCGCATTAGTCATCAAATCCGTCTTCTCGGTTAACTGTTCCAGTAGAGCATTTATTTTACAGAGAGCACACAACAGAGCTTCTGAATTCATTGTCCTACAAGGTCACAAGCCTTTTCCCACGATTGTAATCTGTGGCAGCTGCAAGCTCCTGGAATTAGTTACAGTTTCCCAGTCTCCCTCTAGGGCGAAAACTTCTAGTTCTTCTTGCAACAAAGTTTCATTTTTAAGATATTTTGTCAATATTTGTTCCTTTAAAATGCGAAAGGAAACAGTGGAATCACTATGTTTCTCTTCTTTTAGCTATCTGTCAAAAACGTTTGTCTCTGGTCAATGAGCTTCAAACGTCAGTCCTGACACCCCGCTCCAGGATCAGGACGGTGGAAAGTTACTTTACTTTAAACTCACTTCTGCAGGTTTAAACAGTCCGAAAAAGATCCCCCTTCTTCTCCTGCTGCCGAAGGGGGGTTCGAGGATTTTAAATGATGAAAGCTGATCCTTTAGAAGCGATTTTCTAAGCTCTAGTTTACGTTGTCTTTGCTTTGTTCTTTCTACAAAGAAACGGAAGGCTGACTTCCTGTTTAGACCTTCCCGTTTCAGTACCAAATTGAAGCAAATTTTTAAATCCAATTCCTTTCTGCTTGCAAATCCTTATTTAAAGTCCAATTTGTTCAAAGTTTAAGTACTCACGGGTGCTTATTTTAGAAGCCAAATTGTCCCAGGAAAAGGCAGCGCTCTCCGGCAACGGCTATGCGGCTTCGCTCCACGGAAATAGCAGTTGACTCACAGCACCGCGCCGCTTCCCCCTCTTCGCTTCGGAGCCCGTTAGTGGGTTCCTTTGCGGGTTGGGGGGGCGCTAAGGGTGCCCGCCGAGTCCCATGGTCACAGGCTTCATCTGCCTGTGATTTTTAAAAGGGTCCCCGCTTCACCATAGCGGAAAAGACCAGTTTCGTGCGGAGCTAGTCCCTCCAGTTCAGAGGGAGTCCGCCATTGCCGATGGCGCCACCCCGGAAGTCCTATTCGCGTTCTTTTTAAAAATGTACATGTTACATGCAAATACACATTTAAAGCTCAGTTCGTGGAGCATGAGATACTTAAACTCGGAATCAGGGGTTCAAGCCCCACATGGGGAAAAGTTTCATGCATTGCAGGGGGTTGGACTAGATGACCCTGGTGGTCCCTTCCACCTCTACAATTCTATGATTTAACATCCTATTTAGTTGGTCCCTGAAGAACCACACTGTTCCAGTTACTGTTCACTTCCTTACTTGCTGTGAGCAGTCACATCAAGTTAATACTTCGTGAATTAATTGGGGAAGCTGGAAGATGTAGAATTCTTCAGAAGATAAAAATGATGGTGTGATCCTCGTGGACAAGGCCATGAAAAAGAGAGCAGCCAACGTATGTTTGAAGGTGTGTATGAGCTAGCCAAAGATACTCTGATCTGGAGTAATTGCTTACTCCCGTTCCTACCACATATAAGTCATTATATTCCTTCTCCAAAAATTTTTATTAAACCCATTTCAAACTTATTTCTGCCTGTCACAATAATATTTTCATGAGAAGTGTTGTAACCTAATTCCTTCATTTGAATAATACATTCATTTTTAATTACTGCAACTTGATCTCAGATTATTCAAATAACTGTTTCATTTTTTATGCTTACCCTGACCCCAGTGTATTTATAGGCTTTTATCCTTACCTGATACCAGCGTAATGTAATTATAGATTGTATTTTAATCATCTACTATATCCTAGCAAGTTTGTTTAAATAACTCCAATCCCGAGTCTTTTATTTCTGTGCCTTTTAAAATTCTACAATAGCATTCTCATTGCATAAAAGCAATATTTTTGTAGTTTACTACAATGAATGAACATTTTGCATGCATTGCTGCCCATGTTTCTCATTTGAATTTTAAAAAGTTACCACACGTAGTACTCTACATTAATGGGGGTGATATTTGACTTGTAAACGGGCACGACACTTTCTTTAATATTTGCTCCTATCCTCTCAAATAATGTTTGTATAAAATAGGTCAACACAAATATATGTGGTTTTTAAATAAAAAAACCGCTGATTTTTATCCACCCACAAATACAAACAGTTCATTACTGCTGAGGAGCTCAGGTTCATTCCAGTTCTGAGTCAGCATTTCAGGTGTTTGCCTAAATGTGGGATGTGACAGGAACACAAACAACATCAGCCTGTTTTAAATGCCTCTTCAATTATGGTTTAATGGGTACTGAGTTCTAATCCTAAAAAAGAAACAAAGCAAATGCAATTTTTCAGTCCCAAACTAAATTTCAGTGCACACTTTCCTTGATAAATATTGACTTGGGTGATAGAACTACCCCAAACCACCAATAGGGCTCAAATTGAGACTTGACCTGTGAGTATTGTCTATATATACTCACGGCTTGAAATGAGTGGGAAACCTACTCATTCTGGCACCTCCAAGGCCAGATCCTGAAGTCATGTTTTAGATGGAAAAGTCATCATAATATGAACTATTAAAACAGCACACATTCGTTATAGATATGTCATTATACAAGATCTGAGAGAGTTTCTGGAGAACCCTGGTAGTTTTCCAGGAATACCTGAGAGGTCACTATGCATTACAAAGTTATGTTCACCACACAAAAATGAAGGTAAAAAGCCATATATCAGGTGGTGAATTTCCCATGTCAAAAATTAAGATGAGAACTTGCCTTAAACTTAATGTTTCATTATGTTCATTGAAGCAAAACTAGTGGAGTGTTGTGTATGACCAATTAAGCCATCTTGGCACACTGGTCTAATGTGGGCCATCAGGCCACTTCTAAAAAGCTCTGCTCACCTGCCAGTTACATAGTTTGATTTGACCCAAATCATTTTTATCTGCTTCTTCATTTTCTGTACCATTTATGTACCTAGGGTTGAACTTAATATTTTATATATTTTATTATGTATTTTAGTGTGTGTGTGTGTGTGTGTGTGTGTGTGTGTGTAAGTATGTATGTATTTAATAGACTTTATACACTACTTGAGTGTAAAAAACCAAACACCTCCAAGTGGTTTACAAAGCGATTTTACGTATATTGCACATATAATTCATATGTTTCTCATACAATTCCTCCACAACAAAGGAGGAATTGAACAGGGCTCTACTCATTTTGGTCCCACCCACTACTAGAATGCAATCCCTGGAAGATTCATCTGGTTTGAATCCAGCAGTTAGTCTGAAAGTTGTTCCGCATACCTGCACCAAGCCAAATGCTCTTTACCAGCCAAGTATGGTGATCTGCTCAAGCTAATGCCACAAAACTCTCACTAGCTCCTGGGCTTTGCCAGTTATTTATTTGCAATCTTAGCAGATACTAAGTGATGTTGCTGTAGTTCTTAACTGTCTAGTTCAAAATATGAATAAACCCAGCTTGTAGTAATGCTTGGATATATAGTATAAATTGAACATCATTTTTTCCTGTGACTGCCTTCTACCGCTCAGAATGAAAAATAAGATTCTGGACATGCACTTTTAGTTCAAGCAGATTTTGAAAACGGCAGGATGATATGACCCAATGCAGTCATTGTACGCTCGAAAAATAAAACAGTATTTATTCTAAGCATTCTCCAATTACATTCATATTTGATAACCCAAAGTTGTGGGAAATTTGTCTAGCAGTAGCAGAAGCTGTAAGAAACAGACAAAAAGGAGAGAAGGAAAAAATATTGGAGGGATTTGCCACAAAAATCAGCAGAAGATGGAAGTACCTTCTTCTAATAGAAAAGTGCTTCTGAAGTCACAAGAACCTTCCTACCCACCTTACTCGCTCCCTCAAGGGTGTAAGAGTTGCCTTGTGAGCAAAAAAGAAAGAAAGAATGATTAAGCTTTCTTTCTGAAAAGGAACGTGCTATTCTTGCTTCTAGCAACGCTTAACTTTTCTAGTTGGCACCAAGCTTCTGTTGAATTTCGACACAGAGTCAACGTGACCGAAAATCCAGCATCAGAACTGTCCAGTAGAGAATAATGATAATGGCTTTAGTCAATACATTTAACCAAAAGAATTTTTTAGGGCCAAAGGGAAAGCACAAAATTCTTCTAGGATTTTAACCACCATTTGGTCTCACATTCATTTTTGTTTTATTTTTTGCAGATAGTCATGCTAGCTTCATTAGAGGACTAGAACATCAATTCTCTCTTTAAGATCAAAGAAAAATACATTAGATAACACAGCTGAATCTCCAAGATAAAATATTAAGAAAAGTTTCAAACAGATTTCATGGTGAATCAAAATATAGATTGTAATTCACAAGGCAAGAAAAATGCAGGGTCTAAAGAAATTAAGAATGGTTGTGCTGCTTTTGAATAGAAATAGATCCATAATAGCATCTGTATCAACTGATATATGTCTAATTGAAATTATCTTTGCACAACACTATGGGACACTGATCTAACTGAGCACAGGGATGAGTGATTTTAAAGTGGCATGCTATATGGTCTGGCAATATTCCTAGAAAACATGCTCAAATAATTTAAAAGAAAACCCTAATACCCACGGTCCTATTTTCAGATACTTCATGTCCACATGGCACTGGATCCTGTGTACTGGAAGAAATTGAAGTGATTTGGCTGTTATGGTTGTCAGGTCAAACCTCTAAGGCCAAAACATGCACATATTGCAACGAGTTGTCCATATGAACACTGGAGTTAGGCTATTGTTCCACAAGGGCTGACTGGAATGTTAGGCTTTAGGAAATATTGCTCCTTTTCTAGCTTGTCCATGTAGTGCCTTCCCTCACACCTTCATTTTGAGATGCTCAGCTGGTTTTTATATACCATGCATATCTGATGCATCAACATGGCTTCTTCTTGCATGCACTCCACACAAGCACATACCCCCCCCTACTTATTCGTAAGTAGTATTCCTGGCATCCGTCTGTCGCATGAGACAATGGAGTGTGCCTCCAGGGGTGAAGTTGAACCACTGGAGAATCACAGCGCCTACTATGGTTGCAGAGACAGGTAACTTGTAACTGGTGTCTCCCAATCTGTTTTTGCTGAGCTAGCAGCACCAAAGTGACTTCTCCTAGGCGCAAGTATGGGCGGTGTGTATGGAAGCACTGGACTGCCCAGACAATAGGACCCCTCCTCTCTCAGCCTCACTGATGTGGGGACCAAAGGTGAATGAACTACCCCAGAAGAAGCACAATGTGTCCTTCACCAGAGGTACTACCCCTCTCCTAACACCCCATATGTAGTAGAAATACTACTTAAATACCTATGCACCCAGATGCCATTTTCTGCCTTCTTCTCTTTAAGCTACCTCATTTCCAGTCAGAACACACGACACACAGCAATCAGGGACTTGAGACCCTGTGCCACTGTTTCAGTGATCCCAATAAAGTAATAGCCAGTTTGGTGTGTGGCACTTTTAATATGAATATTCAGAGAACTTGAGGATGGTTCAGCTTCCTGCAGCACAAATCACTGTAGGAAAACATATGTTTTGCCATAAAAATGTGTGAAGTGCCTGGCCCTGAATCTTAATTATTGGTTGACCCATTAAGAATAAGACTTCTGTATTCCCAGATTCCATCATTTTAATTCCTTCAAAGATTAAACCATGGGAGTGAAAATTAACAATGATTATAAAAAATGGGTGTGAAATATCTTGAACATAATTCCAAGCTCCAAACCTGGCTTAGGACCATATATAATTTACATATCTCTTCTACTGTTACATATCCACGATTTTGTGAAATTCTCAGTTATTCTTGTAACTATATCTATAGAAGTCCCTGCAATTTGTACATCTAAATCCAAAGCTTAGATCTGAGGGTGACTACTATGGGGAACTTCTGAAATAGCCAGATGGTTTTAAAAAACAAAACAACCCCCCCCCAAAAAAAACCTGAGGCTGTGTTTTTCTGGTGAGGAAAATGAGACCTAAATGTTCAAAACAAAATCTCACATTTGAGATGTTTTCCTTTGTCATCAAGATAAAAGCAATTGGCCAGATCTGCTTTGTCACTGCAGCCAAACAGACTCTACCCCAAGCCCTGAAGCAGAACAAAAGCTGTTTTGGTGGAAACTAGCCACACTTGTTTCTGAACCAATTCCTTTTAAACGATACGGCCCAAAATGCACGCAATGAGGGGTAGGAAGTCCAGAATGTCCAAGGAAACTTTGAATCAGCATAATGTCTTGGGGCTACAATTTTGAAGGAAGTCCTCTAAAATTAAAACTGCGTCTTCCAAAAGGAAAGGAGCCCTAAAGGGGTATAGGTAATGAGGGAAAACACTTGCCTCGCCTCAGCAAAAGAGCCTCAGCTTGTGTTGAATCAGCCTGCATTTTCATCTCAGAGTGCCAAAGACAGTCCAAAGTAGTCCAAACAGATGAAAACCCAAAATATCCTTTGTTTAAATGATTGCATATTTTATATTACCAAGTGAAAACTGCTAAAAGCCCCTAAGAATGTTAAGGAAATAAAGCCCTTCCTAAGACTTTTGTGATCTGTGCTGATTTTTGAGAAACTTTTGCTTTTAATAATAATATAATGGCTCAAGATTTAGGAATACCAACACTGAGGCCTCTGCAATAAAATTCATTCAGCCTTTGGATTCTAATGATACCTTCAATCTTCTGTGGTAAAGAAAAACAAAACGAAAGGACATGGATGGCATAATTAATCTACAATTACACTCTGATCACAGCTAATCAGGATTTGCTATGAAGCTAGTATTTTTTATTGTGTCGCCATAGAAGCAACCGGCAAGAGCCAGCAGTGTTGGCATGGGAAGTAACCACATAATCTGTCCTTGCCATGTGTTCTTGGGGAAGCATAGAAAGAACATAAAATTAAAAAATAAAAATAAAAGAGCCCTCCTGGATCAGACCTAGTTAAGCAAACCTTTTCCAATAATGGCCAGCCAACCAGTTTGAGGAAACCCTACAAAACAGTAAATGAACACCCCTGCTGCTGTTTGACCCCCTAAAGCAACTGGGGTGTTGTTGTTAGAAAAGGCATACACTGCCTCTGGACATTGAGGTTTCATTTTTCTATCCTAGGTCATAGATGTTGTTAGATCTCTCCTCTATGAATTTGTACAACTTCCCTTTAAAGCTCATGTCACCACCAGTTCTTCATGCAACAAATTTTGTGAGGTAAATATGCAATGTGTGAAATGCTTGTCTGTGGTGAATCAGCCCCCAGTCACTTTCACTGTTTGACCTGGTATCATGGAAAATGGATTTTTAAAACCTTCCTTCTACTTCATTCAGATCATGCCTAATTTTATCAATCTTTTTCAGGTACCCCAACTATGGAAGTTGCTCTAGTCCCTCGCAATTGCCCCCTTTTTTGTGACATAGCAGCTAGAACTATACACAGTAGTCCAGGTGAGGCCATACAATATATTTAAATAAGGGTGTTATTATACTAGCCATTTTATTTTCAATCTGTTTCCTAACAATCCCAACTTTGAGATTTGCCTTATTTAATTCGGGGGGGGGGGTATGAAGAATATTTTGAATCCCTTTGATCAATTAATACTTTTCCTACATTTTTCTACATTCACAAGAAAAGGGAACCTCACTGCTTAGAACTGCTACTTAATATACTATTACTGCTGATTCAGGTAACATGCACCATCTTCAAAATCCTTCATCACTTTCCGCTGTTCTTACCTTCATAACAACCCTGTGACAAAGCATACTGCTATGCTATTTTGAGAACTGTGGCATTTCCATTCAGAATAATATGGCATCCTATATCTTAGGATGGCAAAGCAGAACTTGAACTCAGATCTTCTAGACTGGTCCATTTATCCTATTAAGGATACAGATGAAGTTCTTGGAACTCAAGCCCAGAAACAAATTTCATGGGCTTGTAAAAACCTGAGGTAAATTTTATAAACCCTGAAATTTGAGGCATAAAATAATTCCTAATTTCCTTCCCACCCTGATCTGCAAAATGTCCTCTCTTCCAGGCCATACTTCCAAAACAC